ATATATAAAATGCCTATATGTCCCAACCTTCTAACAGTTTCTTTATTTCATTCAAGGATAAATCTTAAGTCACCTTTGGTGTACTGTGCCTAGCTTGTTTTTAACTTCAGTTGTTCCTGTGGATGAAAATAAATTGATCAGTCAGAAATTGGCTGTGCCAGGTGCCTATTGGTTTTTGGTTATTGTTTTTTTTTAAGTGTTCTGATCATCTCTAGCTTGATGCCAGTTATGATTCTACAATCAGCTACAGGTAGTCCCCACGTACCAACCGCAGTTGGGACCAGCAACTCCGTTGCTAAGCAATGCAGTTGGAAAATGAAATGTCATGTAATTGCACTGATTTATGTCAGTTCCAGCTACAGCCATTAAGTGAATCACCCATGGTCGTTAAGCGCAACATCATGTGACCACACTTGCGATTTCTTGCCAACTTCCCTGTTGACTTTGCTCGTCAGAAATTGGCTGTGAAGGTCACAAATGGCAATCATGTGAATTTCAGGACACTGCAACTGTAGTAAATGTGCACCAGTTGCCAAGCACTCAAATCACAATCACGTGACCACAGGGACACTGCAATAGCTGCAACTTCAAGGACCAGTCATAAATCTCCTTTTTCAGCATTGTTGTAACTTCGAACGGTCACTGAAGGAGTGGTTGGTAAGCAAGGACTACCTGTATTCCTATCCTGGCACTTTCCAGATGTGATACAACTGCAGCTCCCCCCAAATTTGGCCATACTGTCTGGAAGTTCTGAGAATTGCAGTCACATCTGGATGGTACCAGGTTGGATCTTTAGTGCATTCCAGATCTCTTGGAAAAGTGGTTGTAGTGTAACAGTTTAAACATATCTGTATACAGTGGAAAAATAAGCGACTGAATTTGGAAGCTCAGTCTTATTACTCCATGACTCTTGCTTTATGATGAAATACTACTTATTAATGTGACTTCAGCGTTATCTTCATTTTAGAAAAACGTAAACCTGGGCTGAAAATACTCCTGCATGTCATGGTTTAAAGATGATATTGTATATAACATATAAAGCAGAAATTCAGCTATTTTGTTAAGTTGGGCAGTGTAAACAAAAAGATACAATTAAATCTTAAAACAGTTTTCCATGTGTCTAAATTGATGGTGGGGTTCTGTTTCATATTGTATTAACAGTGCTTCATTTTTCTCTATCTTGAAATCAGTAATTAACTTATGTGTTGCCCAGCAAAAAGTACAGCATTAGGAAATGTAACTTTTCAGGATTCAACTTCAAGAATAGGTTTAACACTTGATTATAATAGGTCTTCGAGTTAAAGAACAGTTGATGCCCTGCTCTTAAGTGTGTCTACTGAACTAATTATCCGAGAGACTTGTAATAACATGTGGAGAATGGGATTATTTGAGGTTATTGCCAGTTCTTCATTACAGAAACATTTGATTTCTGGTTGATGGTCAAAATATATTGTTTTAAAATATACCTGTTGTCCACAATCGTAAGATCTCAATGCAAGCAGGTCAGTTACTATAATTCTAGAAATAATTGTTGTGAAATGAAAGCTATAGTCATCTGGCATGTAGATCGTTTCGATTTCACTTGGAGCAGGGATTAGGGTATCTATCTCTGCTCTGGTATTTCAGGAATGTATTGTGTTTCCTTAAACTACCTAGGTATATTTCATATATTAAGAAAGCTGTTTGTGAATTCAGAAGCTCCTGAGTTCAGTCTATGGCAACTTCAAGTAGGTCTGAATGACAGTCTTCTAAGAAAGTTGCTGTCAGCCAAAGCAGACAACCCTATCCTGGTGCTCTCCAAATTATTTGAACCAATCCTGGCTGTGTTTGCTGGGTATAATGAGGGAACAACAAGCTGGAGAAGGCTGTTATAGATAGAACTACATAAATAAATAGTCTGTAAGTATTGCTAAGATTCAGAATATCTGAAGTGTGGATAATAAAATTGCCATTCCTTTATGCTTCAGCTAAACTAAATCAAACCATGAAAGATATTTATTGACTGAATTGCCTGTCAGCTTTTCAGATCTCAGTCCATTTCTTTCAGGATGCTGAAAATCTAAAATCTGTCGGAAAGAATGTTCTTAGGGTATAGTGTGCAGCACTCTTAATACTTACTTTGCTTTCTTCATAGGGAAATCATCTTTGACTATTCAGTTTGTGGAAGGCCAATTTGTTGATTCATATGATCCTACAATAGAGAACAGTAAGTAATCCTGCACTATTACTCCGCACAAATCAGAATAATTCTTCCTCAACCAATTTCAGTCAGTTTCTGAATCATGTTTTTTTTCTGCCAAAGAGAACTTACAACATGTATTGTCGAAGGCTTTCACGGCCGGCATATGATGGCTGGTGTGGATCTTCTGGGCTGTGTGGCCATGTTCTGGAAGTTTTGTTTCCTGACGTTTCGCCAGCATCTGTGACTGGCATCTTCAGAGAGCAGGAGCACAGACAGGAGCAGTT